TTTTGATTCGCGAAACATTGTAAACAGATAAGAAGAAAAATCAATTGTCGTCAACTTTGACGATATAATCTCTGGTAGGCTTTCACTGTACTCCTATCGCTGCCAGATAATGTACTACCAGTACCCTATTCTAAGGCACAGTACGATACTGTCAGTACCTTCGTGGAGGCCAGATGGACGTAATGATTACGTCCACCTAGATCACGTCGTAAGCTCTCTTATTTTAGTATCTCTCGTCAAGGCCAGGATCTCAGCTCATCATGGTTCAGCCGATCAGGCTCACAGCTGGTCCTTCATTCCAGATTTGTTGTCATGTTTACCGTGTAAATTTTACTGCGAGGGTGTAACCTTTACATAGCGAGGGGCGTGCCGTAAACCAACACGTGGAAACACTGTAGTTCGCCGCCTCGGGTTGTTTTCTTGAGAGCTAAGACCTCTTGAACGACAGATGAATAGCTGCGCTCAAACGCACGCCCGGAATAACGTGCATTAGAGGATAAATACAGTATTGTGCTTTCTGCTGCTAAAGTCGACCAACAACTGTCGAAAGCCATACCGGTCTATTCATGATAACGGCCTGAGATCTACTGGAGGAAACATGGAGTGACGAGTCAAATTCGCAAACGAGTCTACTTCAAGTGATGCAACGGTTGTTTTTGCTTAACCGGGGCACAACGGAGGACTGTTCTTCACCCGGAATTCGCCATCGTCGCTGTTCTCATTCTGGGCATGACAGTGACTACGGAAGGAACGTCCTCAACCTAGTGACTCACTAGTAGTGGCTAGTGTTTCTTCAAGGAATAATGGTCACTACTTTGTTCGAGTTGTGAAAAGGCTTAAACATGCTCATGTCACTATCACTGCCTTAGTCTATCAGCTCTTGGCTAACTGCACAATGTTAACTACATTGCTAGTTCCTCGACTGGTTGAGATAACTCGTCTAGATGGATCCAGCTTCAACCGAATGCATGCCTCATGAAGTCTCCACCGCCCGATCAATGCTGTCCAGACGGCATCCCTTGAGTCAAGGTCGTTGCTGCAGTAGCCAACGAATCTGCTCTACTGGGAACCCTCTTGTGCTTGCTAAAATAATCCGTTTTGGTCACCAGAGACAGTATGTCTATTGTAGGGCACGTTTTGCTGTAGTGTTTACCGTAGTGCACCTGAGCGCAGATGATATGCTCATCTTCACCTAGAAGGAGAGTGTTCAGGCCGCCGTCGCTGCCGTCGTTGCACGGGATGGTTGACTGCCCGAGAGATATCCGTCACGCCGGGACTGACGGCATCCACGAGATCAGCAGCATAAAATCGTGATGAAGCGCACACTTTGGCCAGACAAAGCGAGGTACGGATCCCCAATGACACTGCCAGCACCAATGTGTCGCACTGAGGAAGAAAGCCAGATCCGGTAATGTGAAGTCCA